TTGTCAGTCTTTGAACCGCGAGAACGTCATACAGACATACCAAAGTACCCTTACATCTGCTCCAGCAATGTTTGAGATATATATAAATAGGTCCCTCACGCGGTGTGAGAGACACTGAGCGCTGTGCCCATGATCTGAGATATTGTGCGAGAAATCTTTCGTCGGATCGGTAGGGCAGAGGGCCTTATATAGAGTCGGGGACCTGCGCAGCAGAGGGGCAAACGGTCAGTTAATGGTAGGCAAACAGGGGCAAACGCAGCTAAATGTGAATCTGATTGCTCGCCGTGTCATCTTCTGGAAGAGTGACTCGACGGCTGAGACTGGCGGTGAGATTTGTCTCGGAATTGAAACGGAGTATATTGTTCACGCCGCACTTTGTCTTCAATCTGGCAGAGGACTTACCTTTTGGGGTCTGCGAGTGGTTTCATCTTCCACTGTGACTCACCACGCGTGAATCGTGCCAGGAACAACGCCGTGAATGTAGTATCATCCATGTTGTGATCGAATTCTTCTCGAGCATCTCAAGGGTGAAGACGTCGCTGGAGCCAGAGTCATCATACTCTGTTGAAGCAATGCAGTGTCTAAGATTGATCAGTCAGGGCTCACAATGGCAATGGAAATGTCTCACTCGAAGTGTCCCGGTCCACAAGGAATGTCACGCGTCCTCGGATACTCTGCACGAGCATTCTGCAACTGTTGCGAATCACCTTGGTCGGTGATGATCGCGGAAGCCTCGTCTTGCTGGATAACATGAGCACCCGGCTGGTCGACATGAGCACCTGGCTGGTCGACATGCGCAGTTCCCAACGACGCATTTCGTAATTGTCTCTCTCATCGGAAGTGTCAACTGCATATTGATTGATATCACTGTCATTTGTAGCGGCACTCTGTGGCGTCATCAGCCCCAGGGTATCCTTCAACAGACTTCTGACCCGAAAGTTCGACTGGACCTGTCAGAGGCGCAGTCGCAGGCAGTGGTGGTAGTGCCGGTGTAGCGGTATGGAACTGTGGTGATTGTGCAGTCAGATGCGTGGCTGGACCTGCCAAATGTGCAATAGCCCGCGATCTTCTTTCCTGACTCAGACGAAGCAGCTCATCAATTGGCGCGGGTGGAGTGACTTGTTGTTCACGAATTTTTCCAGCAATCCTGGCTTTGAAACGTTCGGCAAAGGCTGTAGGCGTCTTGGTGAGGCCACGACTCAAATCTTGGTTCGAAGCCATGGTTGTCAATGAGAAAGAAGCCTTTGCCAGTACGACCTAAAAATTGATCAGTCCTCATCCAAGCAGGCATGGTGGCACGATACATACCAGTCGACTGTGGTCGCTGATCCTCAGATTCGCAGAGGCAAGGCGGCAAATTGTGTGGATTTGGGTTGAGGACAGAGTCTTTGCTCCAGACAAAGTGAACCACCTTGCAGGTTTCAACAAGGGAAGATGAATGAGGCAGATAGAATTGGGGAGGGACAGAGGAGCCTATGTCAGATATGCTGCCGTTGGCGTCCGGACGTGGACGGTTTGGCAGGATGGAAGATGAGGAGGATGGAAGGATGAAGAGTTGGGATGGGAGCGAGTTTTCAAGTGTATATTTGAAAATTTGGTGTGTGCTACGATGGCTTGGCCAAAAGGTGCGGCGAAAAAGTGCGGTGAGAAGGTCTTGAGTGTTGCCTGGGTTGATTGCTGGTGAATGGACATTTGCAACTGAAGGGCAGGCTTTCATCACAATAGCGAGGAACATCTGAAGTGCTGCTTGCTTGAAAGAGAAGACATTACATAGACAATCGTACCAAAAGATTTGGCCAGTCAGCATAATGCTCCTCACATACTCGTCGAAGTCCACCGACATGTGCAAGTCCAATTCTCCCATGATTGCTCAATAGCATCTCATCATTCATTCATCCATATGAGATGAGGCAGAATCCAGACAGCCTTGCTCGGAGCTGTCACCCAACCCCCGCATTTTAACAGGCTCGGCCAATCACATTGCACCTCTCATCCTTTGATCAGACGTCGGCCAGACGTCTCTATGGCATCGATGATTCTCTGATGATCAGATCTCCTGAGCTTTACAGCACTGGTATCGGAGCCTGGGAAATCTCAGACATGGCCTTAGATCTTGTACCTCTTTCGTCGCTGTCTAAAAGTCTACCACAAGAGCATAGCATATCCGTCCTCCAATATCTACAGCTTAGGACCAGCCTTCTTGCGCGCTTCCCTTTCCTTGTCCCTCAACAATCGTCTAAGAATCTTACCCGAAGCACTCTTAGGTATGACATCGATGAATTCAATGCCTCCAGCCAGCCACTTGTGTCGGGCCTTCTCCTTCTCAACATGTCTGGCGATGTTCCGTTTGACCATGGCATCGCTCTCCTCCAGGCCGACAGAATTCGCCTTGACAACGAATGCCTTGGGTAGTTCACCAGCCCGGTCGTCCGCTACAGGAATAACGGCACAATCAGCCACAGCAGGATGATTGAGCAAGCACGCTTCCAGCTCTGCTGGCGCAACCTGGAGACCCTGTAACAGTCAGCTTGGCGCCTTTCTCTCCTCAGCTTCTGACTTACCTTGACTTTGATCAACTCCTTTATCCGGTCCACGACCCAGATATGCTCATTCCCCTTTGCCGACTTTCGAATCTCGACTTCATCGCCCGTCCGCATGAACCGGCCTTCTGGCATATCCACAAACGTCTCCATCGTCGCCTTGTCGTTCTTCAAGTACCCCAACACAACGCTAGGCGACTTGACCAGCAATTCTCCCCGCTGGTTGTATCCCGTGATCTCGTTGCCCTCGATACTCATCACTTTTGCCTCGTAACCTGGAATCAAGCATCCCGATGAGCCGAACCAGATATCGAAGGGTGACGTCGAGCAGACGACCGTACACGTCTCAGTAAGACCGTAACCCTGTCGGACCACCCATGTTGGATATTGAGAAGCCAGTTCTTCTGCCGTCTCCTGACCCAACGGTGCGGCGCCCGTGAAAATCGCCTTGACGCTCGATAAGTTGAAATTCTTGAGTACTTGCTGGTTCTTAACCATTGCAATGATGATCGGCGGCACAATGTACAGCGTATTGATCTTGTACTTCTGGATAGTTGTCAAGTACGGTTGCAGTTCGAATTTCGGAAGGATAATGACCCTATCTCCACGATATGTCGACGCATGGCAGATAACGATCAAGCCGTAAATGTGCGATTGGGGGAGTAGACCGAGCACCACGTCATGATACCCAGGCTCTATCGCATCCCGTCCGGCTTGGTCATATACCGAGATCTGTACCGTATTTGCGATCACATTTCGGTGACTGATCATGACACCCTTGGGTAGACCTGAAGTGCCGCTAGAATAGCATAGGAAGGCTGTTTGTCTCGCTCCTTGACCTTTACTCCATCGGATCGGTTCAAGCTCTGGTAATGATTCCCCCTCTTTCAGAAGCTGGCTTAGGGTCTTGAATTCTTTGGGGATAGGAGGGTCATTTGGCATCTCGCATATATATATTCTGTTCTTAGGTATGTTGGCCTTTGCGGCGGCTTCAAGTGCAGTTTTCAGTAGAGGCATGACCGTGAACAGGACTTTTGAGCCGGAGTTGATGAGCTGATGGCGGAGTTCGTCCGCGCTGTAGGCTGCATTGGCTGGGGATGATACTCCGTTGATTCTGTGGATGGCCCATGATAGTGACATGATATCGATCTGGAGATGTCAGATGGTACGCGGTTTATATGATGAACGTACCGTATTCAACGCAAAGACGCCAACCACTTTGTCGTACTCGGTGCCTTCGTTGACTTTCCACCTGAACTCCTTCGCAAGGGCGCGGGCTAGTTTATCTACATTTTCTTTCTGCTGTACTGCCGTGATGCTCTTGCCAGAAAGACCGCATGTATAAGCATCCCAAGAGTCTGAGTACGGCCGTCGCCCATGTTTCTCATCGAGCATGAACTCGCATATCGGTACCGTATCGGGGATTTCGGGCAGCTTAGGGACCCATGGTGGAGGATAGAAGACCATGTTGGCGGCGAAGAGTAGGGAAAGTATGAGATTGCAGCGAAGGAAAGATACAGATAGAAAGATCTGGGTGCATTGCGCAGGAAGGACATTGAATTGGGAATAGCCGAGGTATGTCATTCCTTACTTGTCTGCTTCGAGTATGGCGCCCAAAGAGCTCGCTTGATTAAGGTAGGTCACTTTTGGGGTTCCCTTGCCCACGGAGTTCACCCGAACGCCCGGATGCGGGGATAAGCGTCATCTCAACAAGCCCGTGAGTCGTGTGTTGCTCTGGGTTGTTGTTACTTGGAAAATGTTGAGCATTTGTCTTCAAGCTTCTCACGTCAGAAGGGCTTTTCTATCGGTTGAAGCTATAAGGAGCTGATACAAGCTTACTGAATGCTCTGGCCATGGCGTTGGGAGGTGTTCTGGGAAAATATTGGCTTCGCATCGCCCGTGAAAAGTCCGAAACGAGCTGAATTAGGTACGCCGATGTCCCGAGGTGCGGACAAGGCTGGCTTAGAGCATAATTTATGCTTCGCATATGGCTCAAGCAATCACTCCACGAAGGTCTGAGTATATCAGCTGGCGTAGGTACTCCGTACCTTGTATCGCAACGTTCCCTTCTTGTGACCCACCAATGGTACCTGGTGAGCGTGTATGATGAATGAACGGCCTGTATGTAGACAATGATATTGGCATTGTGATGAATGCATATGGACATGTATCAAACGCCTGGGTAAAGTGACTTATCACGAGGCTATACTTCCTCTGAGAGAATCAAGCTGTCTAGCGAACTGAGTTAGGCGGCGACACCGGCCTCCTCGCTGACCTTGGCCTTCGTGTGCATCAAGTATCCGCCCTCTGTATCATATTTGAAATGATGGACGGAGGCTGTCTCTGCACCTGCCTCGCCGTATCAAAAAAAGTCCAAAAAACAAAAAAAAGGCCCTGAATCGAACCAAAAAAGAATCTTTCCTGCATTCTTCGTGAATCGAACAAAAAAAAAATCTTTCCTGCATTCTCCGTGAATCGAACACGGGGCCCGTCGATTCAGCTTGGCAACGACGGATTTTACCACTAAACCAAGAATGCATGATGGGAAGTCGCATCAGACGTTGACGCTGCTTTTTGTTGAAAATTTGACTATATTAATCCTTATTCTCTAGATTATTTATGCTAAACCTTGGCAATCATCGTACTTTTCGTACCTTAGGTCAACTCCATTAATAAGGTGCGTTCTAGCAATTCAATCACCACGTCTCAGTCATCAGGCCGGACACCATTCTGCTGGCAGACATTGTCTCCTGCAGCTTCCTCGACTTCTCAGCCCTCGCCTGAGGCTCGCTCGAACACAATGTAACCACGAGTCACACAAGCGGTGGGGAGAGCTGCACCCCCTTTGGCAGCAATCGAACAATGTAGAGATCGAGCAATCAACATCGACAGTCCCCTGCGAGTTTTAAGGACGGAGTGCAGTTCAGCTTCGAAGGCCTGTCTCTCTTCTTGGTTGATACTCCGTAGGTTGCCCTAGATTCTTCATCTGCCTTTCCAGATAGGCTTGCATGTCCAACGCCGGCATGCCGGCCAGCGGATCTTGCTTATCAATCCCTATCAACATTGCAGCATGTCTGAGCACGGCATGTTGTGCTGTATGCATGCTTGCCGGACCCTGCTTCGGCTCAATAGGCGGCCCATTGTCCATATGTGTTCAGCGGACATTGGCAGACCATGAGTCGGCGAGAAATCTGTCGCCCTTGCTTGTCTACATCTCATCTCCTCAACGCCTTTGGCCTCGCACTATATTTGCTGTCAATATCGCAAGTATCCGCGCCCAAGATGGAACCTCACGAGATACAGCCTGTGAAGATCGCACAAGCCGACACAAAATATGAGAAGGGCGAACTCCACCAGCAATATGCTGGTGTCTCCAACTAGCTCGACGCGCAACACGATCCTCCCTGCAGTCAACAGTCTTCCCTGACACAGAAAGTATGGGCAAGTTCAAGAGAGGTGAACGTCTGCTACCATGACTATATTCCGGCCTCATCGCCTGCAGCTTTCGCGCCACAATCGCCGTCCGACCACATGACGACTGGAAGAAACCTGTCCTGGTATTGACATCTGCCTGGCCCTTCTCTTCGAAGATGTGGGATCACATCCTCGTCCCCCTGGTCGAGACCCATCACTTCCGCTGCATCGTCCCGGACCGTCGCGGTTATGGCAAAAGTGAATGGAGTGGTCCTGTTACTTTGAAGGCACTGAGAATTGACTACGACACTTTTGCCAGCGATCTGGTGCAGATCCTCGACACTGCCCAGGAGGTCTCCTCCGCCGGCTTCAGCTCCAGCGCTGCATCACGGGATTCATTGGCGTTGGCTCTGTCTTGGGATGCGGCGAGCTCCTCATGGCTCTGCCGACCAGTACAGAGACCAGGAACAGCTGCAAGGGTTTGATCTTCATCGCTAGCTCCTTGCCCATTCCATTGCGCACGTCTTCCAGACACGGAAATCGTGGTGTACAAGGACGGATACCACGGTGAGCGCGCGATCCTAAGCCAAGCCGGGTCCGGAGGGAAGCTGACACAAGAATGCGTACCTAGGTCTCGTGCAAATCCACAGGGAGAGGTGCCTCGAAGACATCGTCACATTCCTCAAAGCTTGCACGCATTGATACTCTGTAGCTAAAGCAAGGCCGCGTCTACGGTAGACGCTTGCTTTTGTACCAACGATCGGTTCTCCAAAGATGCATATCTTGAAATCTTGCATTGGGCCAATTGTCACTCCGTCGCATGCCATGACAGTGACGAGACCACGTTGCCGGCAGCGGATCGTAATAGGTAGTCATCAGGTCATCGCTGTTGCGCAAAAATTCACAATTTCACAATTTAGGCCTCTACCAGTAATGAGCCAACTGCAACGCCTTCTCCGGGGATCAAGCACTGACCTCTGTCCCTGATGCCGGCTTTTTGGCATGAGCAAGAATCCATTCTCCCACGTCCCTTGCAAACTGCTCGCCCACGCCCTCAGGCTCAGCGTGGAGTTTGTGGTAGGCATCCGGATACGAGTGGAAGGTCTTGTCACCGCCAGGAGCTTCCAGTACTTCGAAGAGTCGTTTTGCGGCATCAGGTGAGACGACCTTGTCAGCGGTGCCATGTGAAACCCAGAGTGGGCATGGTACTCTCGTCGTCAGGTCATCAGTTTTGTGACCGTGGGAGAGGGCGGACAAGTCTCCGGCTCTTTGCAACATTCCCGTGAGGCCTTCGAGTGTACCGGTGTCGTGGCACAGAGGATCGTCAGTCCAGTCTTGCCGGACCTTGGCCGACCGAGACATGTAAGTTGCGTTGAGCTTCTGCTTCATTTGCCTGTGCGGAAGTACCAGAGCGGCTAGCTTTCCAGCAGCTACTGTGAATGTGTTGGGCTGTTCCGCCGGGTCGAGCTCAATGTAGGGTGCTTGCAACAGAAGGCCGGAGATTGGAGGATGATTTGAGAATGCCGACGATGTAGAGAGCATGTAGCAGAGGACTTCGTTGCCGCCCATACTGTGGCCCATGATGAAGATTGGTCTGCCACGAGTCTCGGGGAGACCAGCAACATGAAGGACGAAGTCATGAATATCAGAGAGAACGAGTGTGGTTGGCCCAGTCAGACCACTTTCGCTTGCTTTGCGCACCGATCGACCCCAGCCTCGTTGGTCAAAGCCGTAGACTGCGATATTGAATGGTGGAGAACTCAAGGTGGGAAATAAGTCATAGTAAGCTGCGCCATCGTCAGCGTGCTACCCAAACACGAAGTTTCAAGCCCTGAATACCGTTGATATGGTCTGAAAAGCCGTGGAGGAAGATGAGCACTGCTGAGATTGTATTCGAGTCAGGCTGCCCGGGCGGATAGTTAGTAAAACACCCATCTGGAAGGGAGTCGTGCACACGTTGACCCCTAGTCTAGGTATGTTGTGCACGCCTAGAAGCAGGGCTTACCTTCCAGGATTTCATGTACAACTTCGTGCCATCACTTGTTGTGAACTCGGCTTCTGTTGTGACAGTCATGATGGCTTGTGATGAGGCTGCGGGTGATTCAATTGAGAAGGAGGTTCATACAGGCCGAAGTGTAGGGTGTGATGTGAGAACAGGTTGTCTGTCGTTAAACAAGACAGGCGGCGATGGGCTGAATGGAAGGGTGGCCAAATTGCTAAGGCGGAGCATGAGGACAAGGGTGCAATGCATTCAGAGCCGAGGTCATGGCCATGCAACTTCACATGCTCTTGGTTTCTTCTCAAGCCTGTAAAAGACTTTGGTTCTGTTGTGTGCTTCGTCGTAGAACAGGCGTGTTATCCCAGATATAGCCGTCTGATACGCAGTATCAAAGGACGATCAGGTCGTGCACGCCCATAGTAATAGTGAGGTGAGTTGTTATGCCGGTCGTCGGTCCATCAAAACCCATCACGGCTGAAAGGGGCTTCATGACTTCCTGATCAGGCAACAAATAGGGAGGTTCGGAGGTCCATCAAATGCGATTGTCACGTGAAGGTGGCCCATCGATTGATGGAATGAACTACAGATGGCCGAGACGGGAAACCAAAGACACCAGAAGAGGAAGAGGAAGTCTGCGCAGAGCAGCCTTGTCCCAAGACGATTTGGTCAAGGGGAGAAAGAGTGTTTTGTGCTGCTGTTGTTGGCAGAGGCTTGATCATTCACATCTTGTGCATCTCGCTCTCGTCTATCACATGGTCTCTCACTGAAGAATCCTAATCCGTGACCCTCCAAATGAAGATCTTCTTGTCAAAACCACCACTGACCAATATTTCATGCTTTCCACCCTTCTCCCAACCTGCATATAACGTACGCACTTTGCTTCCAACCTCATGCGCCTTGAGCACTGCCACAACTTTCCCATTGTGAGTGTCAATGCCTCTGATGACGCCATCGTCCGCATTGACGAAGACGCCATTCCCACTGGGTCGCCAGACGACTTGTGGCGTCGAATACGGCGTCTGAGGAGCCATCGTCGTCACGTGTAGTTGTATAGCTGAGTCCTCGCGATCTTGTAGTGCGAGGTCGGCTCGAGCTTGTGAGGCGGGTGTCACAGACTCTGATCCAAGAACTGCTGCGGAATTGGAGCCCAAGTTATACGAGCCAGCTGGGAAGAGAAGGCGGACAATGATGACTTTCATGTGAGGAAGGTGGGAGGTTGCGACGGCGAGCAAGGTCGGGTCTGTGGGACAAATTGCCAGACATGCAGGGGAGAACGAAACCTGTAGGACATGAATACATCGAAGACCTAGTGGCATGACTGCCGGGAGAAGAAGACTTACCCATGCATTAGCATGTGGCGCAAGATTTTGCTTGCCGGTCTCTTGAACCGAGTAGGTGACCTCGCTGGCACGAGACGAAGACGCTTCATCCGATGTAGGTGTAATGCAGTAGTAGTACAGGAATGTCGAATCTCGGCGTGATACGATTAGGTAAAGGTCCCCGGTATCAGGATGCTGAACCAGTACCATAGACTCGGGGTTAGTAGATAGGGCTATGGTGTGGATAGGGTCCCGTAGGAGTCCTTCAATGTGAGGCTCTTCGCCACTTGACCTTTCATCGGTGTTGAACTTCTCTGCCAGCTCCTGCTCTGGAGCATAGATGTACACTTTCTGGTCCCAACCAGCAGTGGCCACGATCCATCTTCCATCCCGAGTCGTGCCTGTCACAACGTGAACAGCATACTTCAGGTGGTCGCGGCACTTATCCAACAGCCTCCCTCGAGAGTCGTGCACCATTAGCTGTCCCGACATTGAAGTCGAGAACATGAAGTCTTTGGTGATCGAACTGATGGACAGAACAGGACTTCCATGGCCGTTTGATATTGATTCGGCAAATGAGAAGGGGGGCGAAGAATCAACGCGAGACCATGAACGATCAGCACCGGTGACCCAGATCATGCTGTCTTCAGATTTGCCTCTGCCATCACCGCTCACACATAACACATTGGAAGTGACAGAAAAGTCCGGTTCGGTGGCTTTGGATGGTGCTGGAAGTGGCCAGCCAGTGACTTGCTCATCGCCTTTCTTTTCATATCGAAGGCTTGCGTCGTACTGCGTCTTCTCTT